TATTTTCCATCAGGGCATTTGGTGCATTGGATGAGATGTATTACAGCTGCACCTCCAGAAATGTAATACATCTCATCCAATGCACCAAATGCCCTGATGGAAAATACATAGGAGGGACCAAACAACAACTGTGCACCAGAATGAATGCGCACCGGAAATCTGTCAAAGACGGGAGTACCCAATTACCTGTGGGGGCACATTTCTCACAAGAAAACCACTCTCTCTCCAATCTCTCAGTCCTGATCTTCAAAGGGAACTTACAAAACACTTCCCAGAGATGAGCCTCTGAACTCCACTTCATCAACCTCCTGGATACAAAAAATCATGGACTAAATATAGACATTGGATTTATGACGCATTATAACTTGCCTGACATCTGACTCCCCAGGTATCTCTCCACTATTCATCCCCCTTCTCTTCCCCCACCCCCCCCGCCAGCCTGTCTCTGGCCCATTGACTCCTCAATCTACATTTTCACTGACTACCTGTCTTGTATGCAGACCAGCCCAACCTCTGGCTTCTTTACTTTTCATTCCATCCAGGAAGAGCACGCACCAACTGCTGAAACTTCCTTAGCCTGATGAAGTGTTTCTGAACCCGAAAGCTTGTTTAATAATTGTTTTCCAACTATTTAAGTTGGTCTAATAAAAGATATTGGATTCACCAAAAGAACCTTGTCTACCGTATATATTGGAATCCAAATGAGGTTTTATTCCCCAGTCACCATGGCGGGAAGGGGGAGCCAGGTCTCCCCTACACTCCCTTACCAAGCCACACACCTCAGATCTACCCTGTGTGGGGAGGGAGTGTGGGGGAGATGTCATGGCCTGCCCCTCCTTCCCTACCCACACTGCTTAGTTTGGCTCAGCGCTTCTGGACGCAACCTGACTGGGCTCAGGGCTGCCACTGCTACTTCTTCCTGGCAGGGTCAGGGCCACCGCTGAATGCCCCAGACCCAGAGTCACCACCCAGAAGGTAAGCAGAGGCAGGGAGTTGGGGGGCTAGATGGCAGGGGGGAAGGCAGTAGGGGGATAGGCACAGGCATGATGGGGAGCAAGGCATGGGGGGCAGGGGTCTGACCCCTTTCCCTCCACAGTTGCTTTGGTGGGATGAATTTAAGATGACACTCCAATAAATAGATTCTATACATGGAAAACTGAAACAAATTTATAACTTTCCACGTATAGAATCTAATTATTGGGGAGCCATTTTAAATATGGAGTTGTCTTGAATTTGAGTAAATACAGGATAATTTTTTTTTCTTTTGAATAGAATTTTGAAGATTATTAAAAGCCAAGAAAAAAGAGATCAGTTTTGAAACAATAGGTCTCTTGACCTCTGATCTGATGATCATGTAGCAGTGATTTAGCACCACTTATTCATAATTTAATTCTCTTGTCACTTAGTGCAATCTTAAAGAAGAGCACAGGTAGGAAAAAATGGCCTTGATTCTTCTTAAAAAATGAGTCTGCATCCTCACTGATAGCTCTGTCTGCAGCTTTCACAAGTACCCATGCAGCCTGCTGTGACTTTGTTGATTGATCTCTTGAAATAAAAGATCTCCAATAGTTCAGGAAGTGAGAGCAGGTTGTTCACTGCCAACATTAAACACTTGGCTTATGACAAATGCTCGTACCCCTTCTGAGTCCCAAATTTTGTCTAATGACCCTAGGTATATAGATTTAATATACTTAGTCGACCAGGAATCCAAAAATTAGAGGTGCGCTGATGCATCGGTCCATGTCATATCGGCACCAATAAAAGGAAAATTGACATTATTGGCAATTGCCTTTTTTGGCTGATGTGGCAAATAATGTCATTGATAAATGGTGCGTGCAGCCGCAACACGCACATGGCCAGGAGTGCAGCCCAGCAGCGTAGAGAGCAGTATCTGGCTGCTAAGTCTGGAGGGGGTGGGGGCAGATTGAGCCCCTACAGTGAGGGAGAGGCTGGGGCAGGGGCAGCTGCTTTGTAGTTGGGGCAGGGTGGGGCACAGGACAGTGCTGCAGTTCATTTGGGGGGCACGGGGGGGGCTTGAAGGGGTGGATAGCTCCTGCCACTCCCTGCTCCCTTGGGAGAGGCATGGGAGGCACATGTCCCCCCCCCCATCTGTGCACAGGGCGAGGGTGGGATGCCTGTTGTGCATGTGGGGTCCAGAGCTGCTTCAATCTCTTCCTGGTGGCTGCACTTGGGGTGGGGCCAGGTGGTGTTGATGCTGGGAGGGGAGCTATGGGGGGGCTAGAGCCACTCCAATATTTGCCATAGCCCACCTTCCTAGTGCCACTGCCTCCCACCCTACTGCCCAGCCTGAGCACAACTGCTGGGAAGTGGCTGGAGCAGCCCCGGCCCCTGCCTGTCTACAATGACAGCCTGTCGTGTCCGTCCCCCACCCCCCCGCGTGACCTGGACGAGCTGCATCTCTGTCCTGTGCCCTGCCCCACTCCAGCTAGGCAGCTTCAGTCCCGGCCCCACTCCCTCCCTCACTGCAGGGGCCTCCATCTTCCTCCCCCATACCCCTTGCCCCCAGCAGACTTGCCAGTCGAACATTGCCCTCCAAGCTGCCAGGCTGAATATCAGTAACTGAATCCGTATTGGCCAATATGGCTCGTCAATAATCGGCCAACGGTGTCAGCCAAAAAAATCTTTATCAGTGCACCCCTACCCAAAAGAGTTTCTGTACTGAGGTATTTTTACATCATGTGGAACACTATATTATGTGTAATGTCTGTCCATAGCATAGGTGGTGGGGAAACGGGTAATAGCATATTATCCTTGAGAAAATGGCTACCTTAGGATAAATTGAGAACAACATATACAGCAGTGGTTTTCAACTTGTGAAATCTCAGGGGGTCCTCGGACTGTCTGAGGTGTCTGTGAAAGATGACTAGGATCAATCAAAAGTATGTGAATACCCACACTTACAGTTCAAGGAGGCTTGCACCTTCGTTCAAAATTTTTTAGGAATCTGCAAATTAAAAAGGTTGAAAACCACTGATATAAGGAGGCAGAAAAACAGTGGAAACAAGGAGCTATCACCAAGAAGGATTATACTTAAGTTGCTTGGGACTGCAGGGAGACTGTTAGGAAGGCCAAGGCAGAGATGGAGGTAGGGCTAGCATCCAGAACTAAGGACAATAAAAAGTCCTTTTTCAAATATATAGGGAGTAAGAACAAGGCACCAGGTAATGTACGCCCCTACAGGATAGGATTGGCAATCTGGTGATTGCAGCAAATGAAAAAGCTGACCTCTTTCATGAATTCTTTGCCTCCATATTCCTTAACAGGGACCAGGACATTTCCCCCACTAGAATTATGGATGGACCCAGGGGAGGCACTGCCATGCCTAGGGTCAGAGCGAACCTAGTTAGGGAATTGTTGGAGGGGCTGGATGTATTTAAATCAGTAGGTCCAGATGCTTTTCTCCTGAGGGCGCTGAGGAAATTGGCGGGGGTCATAGCGGGGCCCCTGGCATGGGTTTATAAGCGCTCGTGGGGCTCTGGCCAGGTACCAGAGGATTGGAAAAGGGCCAATGTGGTCCCCATTTACAAGAAAGGGAGAATAACTGGCCTGCCCAGGGCCTCCTGTCTCACCTTCTTCCTTAGGAAGATCTTTGAGAAAACTATCAAGGAGCACATCTGCAAGGGGCCAGCAGGGAGGTAATGTTCAGGGGCAACCAGTGTGGGTCCATTGATCCTGCCTGACTAACCTGGTTACCTTTTTATGATCAGGTCACACAGTCCCTGGATGAGGGCATCGAGGTGGGTGTCGTCTTCTTGGACTTTCAGAAGGTCTTTGACACTGTTTCCCACCACATTCTCTCAAAAAAAACTTTGGTGACTGAGGCGCTAATGCCTACTCAGTCAGATGGGTGGCAAATTGGCTAGATGGTCACACCCCGAGAGTGGTGGTGGACAAGTTATTTTCGACCTGGAGGGATGTGGGCAGTGGAGTCTCCCAGGGCTCGGTCCTGGGCCCTGTACTGTTCAACATCTTTATCAGCAATCTGGATATGGGTGTGGAAAGCGCGCTGTCCAGATTTGCTGACAACACCAGGTTGTGGGGCAAGGTGGCACTGGAGGGGAGGGACAGAATCCAGCTAGATCTAGACAGGTTATAGAGATGGGCAGATGAGAATAGGATGGAATTCATGCAGACAAGTGCAGGGTGCTGCATCTGGGGAGAAGGAACCAGCAACGCACCTATAGGCTGGGAACACCCTTCTTGTCAACACAGTGGCAGAAAGGGATCTTGGAGTCATTGTTGACTCCAGGATGAACGTGAGCCGCCAATGCGAGGAAGCGGTCAATAAGGCTAACCACACCTTGTCGTGCATCTGCAGATGCATCACAAGTAGGTCCAGAGAGGTGATCCTACCCCTCTATGCAGCATTAGTCAGGCTGCAGTTGGAGTACTGCATCCAGTTCTGGGCGCTGCACTTTAAGAGGGATGTGGCTAGCATTGAGAGGGTCCAAAGGAGGGCCACTTGCATGGCCAAGGGGCAACAGGTCAGGCCCTACGAAGAGAGACTGAAGAGCCTGAACCTGTTCAGCCTCTACAAGAGAAGGCTGAGAGGGGATCTGGTGGCCATTTACAAACTCACCAGGGGGGACCAGTGAGAATTGGGGGAGGCTGTGTTCTTCCGGGCACCACCTGAGGTTACTAGAAATTACAGCCACAAATTGTTAGAGAGAAGGTTCAGGCTGGACATCAGGAAACATTACTTTACAGTTAGGGCTGCCAGGCTCTGGAATGGGCTCCCAAATGAGGTGGGGCTGTCTCCTTCATGAGGAGGCTGGACAGACATTTGGCTGGCGTGTTATGACCCTGCACTCATTCTTGCCTGTGGCAGGGGGGTCGGATCTGATGATCTGTTTAGGTCTCTTCCGACCCTAAGCACTATGAAACTATAAACTGTTGTGTGTCTAGATCCTTGTACTTACCTTAGCATAGTTTGACCACATAATAGCCTTGGTTTTTTTGCAGAACACAATGGCTCTCTTTAGCATCTTGGTCGTAACAACATATTTTGGGGCTCCTGAAACTCCTGTTCTACAGCCGTCAGCACATTACATGCATGTTTAATTTCTGATACTTTCTTTGAGAGTTCACCATGTAACCTCCTTATGAAGTATACATGGAATGAATCTGTATTAGTCTAGTAGAGGTGTCATGTTCTCCCCAAAATCTTCACTGATAAGTTTACGTTCTTTAGTGAAGAGACCTACTTACCAAGTTGAGGCAAACCCTAGAAATATTTGTAATAGAATACATGGCAATCAATTTCTATAAGACTCTGGGAATTTACTTAAAGTAGGTTGGAGGAGTTGAGCTTTAGGAAAGGAACTGAAGTGCATTACACCTGCTTGATTGCATGTTTTGCCAGGATATTGTTTGTCTTGTCCATAATTTTTATGTTCTCAGCAAGAGTATGTATGTTCTACAGTCCTCAGGGCTGTTCTGCTGAGGCAGGCAAGGGGTTTCCATATAATCAGACTTTTATATAGACCTCATCACCAAGATTGGAAACATGAACTGGGTTATTAGAAGCCTTCAATAAAATCTAAAACAAGAGGATTAATAACTTGAAAATATTTACTAAGTGCCCGACTTATAACAGAAAAGAGTTCCATTGCTAATTTCCTTATTCAAGATCAAGGGAGAAACTAATCTTCCATAATGCCAAATCCTGCATTTATTATTCAAGCAACATTTCCATTGGCTTCTAGGGAAATTTTATCTGATAGACACCTGTGAGTTTTGATCTATATGTAATATATAACCAAACTTCAGTTTATGTGGCACTCGAATATAGCCGAACTCATCAGATGTAATGGGGTTTATTAGGTTATTTAATGTAGTTTTTCAAGGGCATTGGAGAATGCAGAAGATGAAGAGGCATTGGAGACCATTCCACAGTTGAAAATTAGCCATAGTTTTTCTACTTTTTTTTTCTAATTGGCAAGATTTCTAACTCTGTTAGTCACTACCTTTATATCCCCATTCATTTCAATTTCAGATACTGTCTTGATAACAGGAAAGCTTTAGAGAGAGATGTGGGATATGCTGAACTTCAAACTCGTCTTATTCGTTATGAAACACAGACCACCTGCACAAAAGAGTGCTGTCCTGTACCATGCGTCTTGAGCCCTCTTCCATCTCCTGCAGTATTGTCAGAGCCTGGTAGCGTGCCTGATGGGGAAGCTTTACAAAGTGAGTTCAGAACAGAAACATCAAGGCTAAAACGCAGATCAAAAGACTTGGATTGCTTTTATCCCAACAAAAGGTAATGCACTAACTAATAATAACAAAAATGTTAGCATGAAATATTCTAATACATTTTGTATAAATGCATCTCCCTTTTAATCATGTAATGTTTTAAAAGGAGCTGTCTACAGAAATGTTCTAGTGCAATCCTCTTGTACAAGTTCATTTTTTCTGAAGTGTGATATAGTGTTGATAGCATTAATCAAAACCACAGAGCTAAGATACTCTCATATAAGAAAATAAGTTGTATCTTGCAAGGTACTGAGTGTCTCTTAAAATACCTTTTTGCAGGCTTTGTAATTATTATTTGTAGGGCAGGAGTAACTCAGGGTTTAGAGTACTGGGCAACTGTAGAAATGTAAAACAACACAGACTGTGGCTCAAGAATTTACAACCAAAGTGAAGACAACCTGTAGCAATCCATCTTGCCAAACCCTCGGCACTCCTTCTAATCCTAAATCCCACTTCTTCAGAATTCTGCGCTTACCCAGAATGGAGTTATTCCCATTATTATCAAACCATTAAAGAACAGATTCCAGCACCAAGCAACTGTCACCTTATTACTGTGACACTTTCCTAGTCTTTCTGCCCAACTGTTTGTTTACTCACTTGTTGGAATACCCATGTAATTGCAAGTAAATTCTTAAACCATGATTCATATCATATTTTATATATTTGTCTCACTGAGCTACCAGACTTTGGAGTTGTACTTCCCAGGATCATGCTGCTTAGGAGTGAGAACTACTCACTCTTACTGCCAGAGATCAATCTTCATAACTGCATAAATTTGTTACTCAACTGTTTCCTTCCAATAAACAGCAACTCAACTATTTAGGCTGTTTTTTTCTCTGAAGGTGAAGAACACAGTGGTTTCAAGCACTCTACGTGATACTACTTTGTCTTGAATTGAAACTGGAGAGTACAGTACTAGGAGCAGTGACTGGGCATGCCTATATTTTTCATATTTACTGGATAAGGAGGGGAAGTAGCCATGCATTCTTTAATCCTTAAAAGAAAGTTGTTGGGACATGGAGGGCTGGGGGAAGAAATTTCTTCAGTCTTTCTGACCACCTCCCACTTCTGTATGCATCTTTCCTGTGTCTTTCATAGATGTTAGGGACCTCAATAGATCATCAAGGGCATTGGAGAATGCAGAAGATGCCTGCATTGAGGTCTCGGAAGGGACCTCAATAGATCATCGAGTCCGACCCCCTGCATAGGCAGGAAAGA